TAGCTACCGCCGGGGGATTCCGCGTGGTCTGGTTGCGAGCTTCCCTGCAGCCCCGTGCTTCCCTGAAGCCTCGTGCTGACCGAACCTGACACTAAGGACCCTTCCTGGTCTTGACACTGCCTTATCTCTGCCTATTTCAGGAATGCTTAGTCAGCTGCCATTTACCTTCTGGCTCAGTGCTTTATAGCTCAGTGCTATCTGGACCATCTGTGACCTTGTGCTTTTTCTAATTTGGGCAGGATTCTATCCTTACACAAGTATCAGATTCACTCACGGGATCTAGAGTAATGTTTCTCAATCTTGCAAATTTAAGATATGTGGACTTCAATTCAATTCTCGAAGAAGGGAACCAGGGGAGGGAGAAAAGGGAAGATGTTGGAAAGATCAGGGACTAGTGGGATATGCCCCACTGGAAGCTACTGAGACCATCCCAGTATTTTAAAAAGTGCACAGGCCAATATATCAGTGGTCACAGCAGCAACTGAAGGGAGGAATGGAAAGGAAGGTGCAGAGACAAATGAAGGGTGGACTGGGCTGGTGAGATATGTTGCACTGGGAACAGCTGAGACTAATCACAGAAAGGAATAGGTACACAACCCATATAAAGGAAGGGAGAAAGAGGCTATGCCTTGCCCTACTCGTTCCATTTTAGAGAGCCATGGAGGTGACCTTGAGAGAAATATTCAGAAGCTGTTACAAAAGCAAAAAGGGCAGAAGCATTCTTTGAGTCCTGGGAAAGGAAGTAGCATTAAGAAGAGACTCAGGCTGGCTCCTCCCTGACTCAGTGGGGTATAAGATGGAGGCGAGGAAAAATACAATCAGACTTGCAAGATTCTGTTAATATAGCCTATCTCAATAAAATTTAGTCTTCTTGTGGAGTTTGTTTCCTGATCTGGACAACCTCGAAGGGCTGACGCCCATATAATTACTCTAAGATCTCTCTGGGTTTTATTTCAGCTGACACCCAGAAGATTCAAAAGAGTCTGTGTTTGGTTCTGTCAAACCAGAGCTGATCTGGGCTGCTAAACTGAGTGTCCTCCTCGAGGGAACCTTCCTACGGTTTAATATACAGAATAATTAACTGCCTCAATAAGGACAAATTCACAAAAACTGATATATCTTTAACTGAATGTTTAGATGAGTGATGTGAATACAGCCTCTTAATCCTGTTTGTTTTTGCCTTGATTCCTGGCAACTACATGGACAAGTCTGTACAGTTTTCTGGGCACCATTTTCTGAAGTGGTTTGCCACTGACTTCTTCCTAGAGCCAAGAGACAGCCACTGGCTCAAAGTCACCCATCTGGGTTCTGTGCCTAAGGCAAGACTAGAACTCACATCTCCCCAGTCCTAGTTCAGTGCCTTAATCACTTAGCCCATGGCTTGAATAACTATTTACATATACTTTTTGAATGGTTTAATGCCTTTTAAAAAGTTAAAGCATCAAAATGCACATACTGTATATGCAAACAGCAACAAGCTTTAAGATAAAAATTCCTTTCTTCCATTCCATAGAACAATGTTTCCTCAACTCTGACCCTCTGAAACCCGTCCTTTTCTTGAGGCTCACTGATGACATTTTCATTATCTGGACCTGTGATTTCTCATCAAATTTCATCATGATTTCAACAACTTCTGTGCTACCATCAATTTCAGCCTTGACTTACTTACAAAACAAGTCAATTTTCTTGTTGTCATGGTAAAGCTGCAGAACGGACACATAAAGACCACACTATACAGGAAATGTACAGACTGCCATGCTTCTAGCTTCTATCCCGAACACACCACCAAATCTATCATCTATAGCCGAACTCTATGCTACAATCACATTTGTTCTGACCCCTTTCATAGAGATGCTCAACTGATGGAATTAAACCAGGCATTTAGGAGATTAAACTGTCCACCCAAGATAAATAGGCAAATAATAGAGCTGAAACAATTCCCAGGAAGGAGCTATTAAAAGACAGACCACAAAAACAGTATACTGGAACAACTGTGGTTGTCATCTATAGCTGACAGCACCAGTCTGAGCTGGCTGTGAAGTGAGGCAACAGGTAGAATGCAAGTGAAGGACAACTGGTGCTGAATGTGATCAAATGCAACTTAAAGACCATTACTGGGCCTACTTGAGAGTAGTGAGGGCAGCAAAGAAACTGTGTGAAGGAAA